TAATGGAGTGCTTCCTTCACTAGGAGTAGAGATTGGCATGGTGGTGACTTCAGGAGTTGTAAGAGATGAACTGACGGGGGTAGAAGTGGTCACAGATGTGCTGGTGTCAACAGAAAACGTTGAAAGGGTGCTGCCCTCAGAACTGGTCACACGTGTGGTGGTGACAGGAATAGTTGTTAATGGAGTGCTTCCTTCACTAGGAATCGAGGTTGGAATACTGGTACCTTCAGGAGTTGTAGCAGATGAACTGACTTGGATAGAAGTGGTCACAGGTGTGCTGGTGTCAACAGAAATTGTTGAAAGGGTGCTGCCCTCAGAACTGGTCACACGTGAGGTGCTGACAGGAATAGGTGTTAATGGAGTGCTTCCATCACTAGGAGTAGAGATTGGCATGGTGGTGACTTCAGGAGTTGCAGGAGATGAACTGACTTGGGTAGAAGTGGTCACAGATGTGCTGGTGTAAACTGAAGGTGTTGAAAGCATGCTGTCCGCAGAACTGGTCACAGGTGTGGTGCTGACAGGAATAGTTGTTAATGGAGTGCTTCCTTCACTAGGAGTTGAGATTGGCATCCTGGTACCTTCAGGACTTGTAGGAGATGAACTGACTTGGGTAGTAGTGGTCACAGGCGTGCTGGTGCCAACAGAAGTTGCTGAAAGCATGCTGCCCACAGAACTGGTCATACGTGTGGTGCTGACAGGAATAGTTGTTAATGGAGTGCTTCCTTCACTAGGAGTCGAGATAGGCATACTGGCACTTTCACGAGTGGCAGGAGATGAACTGACGTGGGTAGAAGTAGTCACAGGTGTGCTGTTGTCAACAGAAGGTGTTGAAAGGGTGCTACCCTGAGAACTGGTGACACGTTTGGTGCTGACAGGAATAGTGGTTAATGGAATGCTTCCTTCACTAGGAGTTGATATTGGCATGGTGATAACTTCAGGAGTTGTATTAGTTGAACTAGCCTGAGTAGAAGTAGTCACAGGTGTGCTGGTGTCAACAGAAGGTGTGGAAGGTGTGCTAGCCTCAGAACTGGTCACATGTGTGCTGCTGAGGGGCATAGTTGTTAATGAATTGCTTCCTTCACTTGGAGTAGACTTAAGAATAGTGGTGAACTGAAGAGTTGCTGGAGATGAACTGGCTTGAGTAGAAGTGGTAACAAGAGTTTTGGAGCCAAAAGGAGTTGTTGAAAGGGTGCTAGCCTCAGAAATGGTCACTGCCGTGGGGTTGACAGTAATACTTGTTAATCCAGTGCTTTCTGCACTAGGAGTTGAGGTTGACATGCTGGTACCTTCAGCACTTGTAGGAGATGAATTAGCTTCAGTAAAAGTGGTTACAGGTTTGATGGTGTTAACAGGAGATGTTGAAAGGGTGCTAGGCCGAGAACTGGCCACCGCCGTGGTACCGAAAGGCACACCTGTCAATGGAGTGTTTCCTTCACTGGTAGGTGAGATTGGCATGCTGGTACCTCCAGCAGTTGCAGGAGATGAACTGGCTTCAGAGGAAGTAGTGACAGGTGTGCTGGTGTCAACAGGAGTTGTTGAAAGGGTGCTAGCCTCAAAACTGGATGCCAGACTGGTGCTGACAGGTATACTTGTCAATGGAGTGCTTCCTTGCCTAGGAGTTGAGGTTGCTATGCTGGTAACTTCAGCAGTTGTAGGGGAAGAATTGGATTCAGTTGAAGTGGTCACAGGTGTGCTGGTGTCAACAGGACTTGTTGAAAGGGTGCTAGCCTCAGAATTGACCAGCAGCGTGGTGCTGACAGGCATACTTGTTACTGGAGTGCTTCCTTCACTAGGAGATGAGGTTGACATGCTGGTACCTTCGCCAGTTGTAGCAGATGAAGTGGCTTCAGTAGAAGTGGTCACAGGAGTGTTGAAGTCAACAGGAGTGGTTGCAAAAGTGCCAACCTCGGAACTGGCCAGCAGTGTGGTACTGACAGGTATACTTGTTAATGGAGTGCTTCCTTGACTAGCAGTTGAGGTTGGCATGCTGGTACCTTCAGCGGTTGTAGGAGATGAACCGGCTTCAGTCGAAGTGGTCACAGGTGTGCTGGTGTGAACAGGAGTTGTTGAAAGGGTGCTAGCCTCAGAACTGGCCACCTGCGTGGTGCCCACTGTCATACTTGTTAATGGAGTGCTTCCTTCACGAGGAGTTGAGGTTGGCATGCTGGTACCTATGGCAATTGTAAATGAACTGGCTTCAGTGGAAATGATAACAGATGTGCTGGTGTCAACAGGAGATGTTGAAAGGGTGCTAGCCTCAGAACTGGCCACCGGCCTGGTGCTGACAGGCACACCTGTTACTGGAGTGCTTCCTTGACTAGGAGTTGAGGTTGGCATGCTTGTACCTTCAGGTGTTGTAGGAGATGAACTGGCTTCAGTTGAAGTGGTCACAGGTGAGCTGTTGTCAACAGGAGTTGTTGAAACGGTGCTAGCCTCAGAACTGGCCTGCGGTGTCATGCTGACAGGTATACTTGTGAATCGAGTGCTTCCTTCACTAGGTAATGAGGTTGGCATCGTGGTACCTTCAGCAATTGTAGGAGATGAACTGGCTTCAGTAGCAATGATCACAGGTTTGTTTGTTTCAACAGAGGTAGATGAAAGGGTGCTAGACTCTGAATTGGCCACTGGTGAGGTGCTGAGAGGCATACTTGTCAATGGAGTGCTTCCTTCACTAGGAATTGAGGTTGGCATGCTAGTAGCTTCAGCAATTGTAGTAGAAGAACTGGCTTCACTAGAAGTGGTCACAGGAAAGTAGGAGTCAACAGGAGTTGTTGAAAGGGTGCTAGCCTCAGAACTGGCCACCAATGTGGTGCCCAATGACATAGTTGTTACCGGAGTGCTTCCTCGACTAGGAGTTGAGGTTGGCATGCGGGTACCTTCAGCACTTGTACAAGATGAACTGGCTTCAGTAGAAATGGTCACAGGTATGCTGGTGTCAACAGGAGTTGTTGAATGGGTGCTGGCCTCAGAACTCGCAGGCAGCGTGGTGCTGACAGGCATAATTGTTCCTGGAGTGCTTCCTTCAATGGGAGGTGAGGTTTTCATGCTGGTACCTTCAGCAGTTGTAGCTGAACTGGCTTGAGTAGAAATGATCACAGTTGTGCCAGTGACAACAGGAGTTGCTGAAAGGTTACTAGCCTCAGAACTGGACAGTGGCGTGGTGCTGACAGGTATACTTGTTAATGGGGTGCTTGCTTCACTAGGAGGTGAGGTTGGCATGCTGGTAACTTTGCCAGTTGTAGCAGATGAACTGGCTTCAGTAGAAGTGATCACAGGGGTGCTGGAGTCAACAGGAGTTGTTGAAAAGGTGCTAGCCTCAGAACTGGCCACCTGCGTGGTGCCCACTGTCATACTTGATAATGGAGTGCTTCCTTGACTAGGAGTTGAGGATGGCATGCTCGTGCCTTCAGCAGTTGTAGGAGATGAACTGGCTACAGTTGAAGTGGTCAAGGGTGTGCTGGTGTCAACAGGAGTTGTTGAAAGGGTGCTAGCCTCAGAACTGGCCACCTGTGTGGTGCCCACTGTCATACTTGTTAATGGAGTGCTTCCTTCACGAGGAGTTGAGGTTGGCATGCTGGTACCTTCAGAAGTTCTAGGAGATGAACTGGCTGCAGTTGAAGTCGTCACCGGTGAGCTGGTGTCAACAGGAGTTGTTGAAAGGGTGCTAGCCTGAGAACTGGCCTGCAGTGTGGTGCTGACAGGTATACTTGTGAATGGAGTGCTTCCTTCACTGAGAGGTGAGGTTGGCCTGCTGGTACCTTCAGCAATTGTAGGAGGTGAAGTGGCTTCAGTAGCAGTGATGACAGGTTTGCTCGTGTCAACAGAGGTTGTTGAAAGGGTGCTAGCCTCAGAACTGGCCACTGGCATGGTGTTGAGAGGCATACTTGTCAATGGAGTGCTTCCTTCACTAGGAATTGGCATGCTAGTAGCTTCAGCAATTGTACTAGAAGAACTGACCTGACTAGAAGTGGTCACAGCAATGTTTGAGTCAGCAGGAGTTGTTGAAAGGGTGGTAACCTCAGAACTGGCCACCGGTGTGGTGCTGACTGGCATACTTGTTAATGGAGTGCTTCCTTCACTAGGAGTTGAGATTGGTACGCTGGTACTTTCAACAGTTGTACGAGGTGAACTGGCTTCGGTGGAGGTGGTCACAGGGGTGCTGCTGTCCATAGGAGTTGTTGAAAGTGTGTGAGCCACGGAACTGGCCACCAGCGTGGTGCCCACTGTCATACTTGTTAATGGGATGCTCTCTTCACTAGGAGTTGAGATTGGTATCCCACTGCTTTCAGCAGTTGTATGAGGTGAACGAGCTTCAGTAGAAGTGGTCACTGGTGTGCTGGTATCAACAGGAATTGTTGAAAGGGCGCCAGCCTCAGAACTGGCAACCGGCGTGTTGCTGACCACCAGACTTGTTAATGGAGTGCTTTCTTCACTAGGAGTTGAGGTTGGCATGCTGGTACCGTCAGCAGCTGTAGGAGATGAACTGGCTTCAGTGAAAGTGTTCCCAGGTGTGCTGGTGTCAAGAGGATTTGTCGAAAGGGTGCTAGCCTCAGAACTGGCTACCAGCGTGGTGCTGACAGGCATAATTGTTAATTGAGTGCTTCCTTCACTAGGAGTTGAGGTTGGCATGCTGGAACTTTCAGCACTTGTAGGAGAAGAACTTGCTTCAGTAGAAATGCTCACAGGTGTGCTGGTGTCAACAGGAGTTGTTGAAAGGGTACTAGCCTCAGAAGTGGCCACCGGCGTGGTGCTGACAGGCACAATTGATAATGGAGTACTTCCTTCACTGTCAGTTGATTTGGGCATGGTGGTGCTTTCAGGAATAGTAGGACATGAACTGGCCTGAACAGAAGTGGTCAGAGGTGTGCTCGTATCAACCACAGGTGTTAAAGACGTGCTGGCCTCTGAACTGCTCCGAGGTGCAGTGCTGACCAAATCCGTTGTTGATGAAGTGCTTTCTTCAGTCAGTGTCGACATGCACATGTTGGTGCCTTCGGGCGTTTTAGGAGATGAAGTATCTTCAGTAGAACCGGGGAAAGGTGTAGTGGCGTCACTGGTAGATTCTGAAGTTTTTATGATTTGTGTTCGTGTCCTCCTGTCACTGGAGACACCAGAAGTGTCTGAATCCACACTGTACTCAATCAAGGTCATCTCAGGGTTGGCGCTGTCTCTCAAAGATATTCCTTGCTCCACGAAGTTTGTAGGTGTTGTGCCTATGGTGATGTTCGCCACAGAACCTGTTTAAGATACAATGATGTTTTCTTTAGGAGTTTCTTCGGGTTCTCTATGTCAGGAGTGATTGTTTCAGTTGGGCTTTTTACTGAAAATGTGTTCAGATGAGTGATGTCATTATTCATTTTCAGGATGAAGTGGAATCAGTTTCTCCAGTGTCTTAGTCTCTCCTGCCTTCCCTTCTACACTGTTAGGAATTGAACTCAACCTGAACCCCCTTTCTTCCACAGTCCCTGCTTGGGTGATTCCATGCCTGCCCATAATTCCTGGCCCCAGATCACAAGCCATCACACACTGTAAAATGTGGCAGCTTCACCAGCCTGGCAGGGGTCGCTCTAGCCCTTTTGCAGGTAAGCCATCTTCCCAGATCTTGGAGTCCGTTGCCTTACCTTTCTCAAAGCTCTGAGACAGCTGCTGGCACTGAGGGTCCCAGAGGTCCCCTTCGGAGATGCACCCTCCTCCATCCCACACAGCCCTGTTCACACTGAGGTCTGAAAGAGACAAAGGGAAGTTAGTCTACCAGAGTCACGATCCTCCTTCATTCTCTTGAAGCCTCTGAGTCTCTACTCCCTGCCCTGGAAAGTCCCTGGTCCCTGAACCAGCTTGCTGATTTCAGTTC